AAAACCAAAATCATCATCATCCAGGCCTGCAGAGGAGGTAACCTGCCATCTCTTGACATCAGCTATCTACTTTGTTTTATTGAAATGCTAAGAAAATCACCCAAACAATAATTACACACCCTTTTAATTTTGACTATAAACAATGTATTTTACATGCCATACCTAAACGTAAAGGTAAGATGGCGCCCTGTGCTGTTGCGGTCGTGTAGCGACCCCAGACAACTAATCAACGTGTCAACGGTTAGACGACGGTTATAAGATGACCCTAGTTTTTCCACATTATTTTTGTAACATTCATGTTAACCAGATACATAACAAATGTTTTCAAAGAGACCACAGTCTGAACAGTCGTACTGCATTTCATTGGAGTTTTCATGTGAAATAACTATAAAAATACATTTCGTAAAGCAGGGTTTGGGAGTCAACCACCTGACAAAGCAGTTCAATTGACTGACATCAATTGCACTTCTTCAAATTGATACACACACCATGAATGGATGCAATTGTTTCTTCTTCTGCCCGTCATTTAAATTAGAGTTTGATGGTGGTCGCATTTAAACTAAAAGGTTAACAATAAGTGACAAAAATCCTTTCCAAGAAAAACACTGTAATTAAGCAACAAGACCGAAGTGAACGTAGCCTTAGAAGTTTCAAGTCATTTCAGAAACACTGATATTTACTTGAAAAATGTCCATTGTTGCAGGTAATGATGGATCGGTGCTTGTTGGCAAGGATGCAGAGACTGCAGCTGATTCAGAGAGAAGCGGAGAGGACATAGAAGATGACACTTTACACATCGTCCACAAAGAGAAAGACTTCATCTCTCTCCTCTCCTGCACCCCTGGTAAGTTCAACAGCTGTCCACACTGCTCCATTCTACAGCTGTTCTTACATGACATCTGCTATGAAGTGAATTTTGAGTTTCAGTTTCTCCACGTTTCTCCTGCAGAAACAAGCTCATACCGACACAAAGTTAATGGGTCGTTTCTCATCCAGTTCCTGAAGGAGGTATTTTGCACATCTGCCCATGAGGACGACGTGGATGTGCTTTTCAGAAAAGTATGAGTTTACTGTTTCTAGTGAGATGTTAGAGTACGTGTGTACGAGTTAAAATGACTTCATATTACTTATTTTGTTTCTTTGCTTCACAAAGGTGATGCGGCGCTTTGAGGATTTCTCCATTGGTCTCAAATGCAGGCAGATGCCGACCAAAGATAGATGCACGATGACCAAAGCCTTCTACTTTTTTCCGGGTCTCGACACCATTTGAGCCAAACTCAGTGGCTACATCCATTTTTAAACCACAGCTGAGAGCATGTTAGTGAAATAGCTCAACTAAATTCACGATAACAAAACAAAAAAAGTTTTCACAGGTCAGTTCATTTTTTATTACTGTGCATGTGGGTTTCTTATTAAATACCCTGAAACATACCTGGACTCAGCGTGCTTTCTTGGACATGGAGCAGCGCGTCACATAACCTTACTGCCGGACCTAGCTCTCAAGGAAAGTCCCAACTGTAACAATGTAAAACAGACACAAAGGTTGCAACAAGTAGTGGCAAACATTTTCAGCTCCACGGAACTGTTGAATAGACGTAACACATTGTTCCCAGACCCGTCGGTCGTCAAGGTGCGACGAGACAAAGAACAAAATAAAATAATACGACCAGTATTAAAATGAATATAAAGTGCGCCAAAAACGTCACTTTCTTGCGTTCACAACTTCTTCGCTTTGCCTTAGCGAATCGATTTATCGCATCACATTCGAAGCTCCAATGGCACCGCCGACTAAATCGTTAGCTGTGACGCCATTTACACTTAACCCGCGCCTGTCGCATTTTGGTCTGAACTCCCCTTTACAGGTCTCAGGACTGACCAAACTAAAAAAGTGCAGGTAATCAGAGCATAGGTCAGTAATTATTTTTATGTGGCCCAGTGACCTCTGGACAACATGGTGACACGATGTGATGATTCATGTTGGATGGATGTACAAATCAATCTCAGGGGCTAAGGTGAATTCATGCTCACGCTTTTATTGAATTGATTGATAAAAATAAATAGGAGATTAACAGAAGGATGGGTTGTGGTCATGTTCAAGCTCAGGCTTCATAATAAGACACCAAACACCGGCAGTTTTTAATCACTTACATACCAGAACTATTGATCCAACTGAGATGTGGACTCCTTTTTTAAACCTCATATTTGAACATACTGGCAGTGTTAGCAAGCTTTAACAGTACTGTGCAAAATATTTTCAGGTCAGGGTAAAAAATTTGTTGTAAAGTAAAAAATACTTAAAAACACTGGAATAATAAATAATTTTTTAAAGTTCTCATTGTGGACAAAATCCAGACCAAAATAAACACTAGCATCAGTCCTAATGAGTATTTTGTACAAAGAAAAGGTGCCAGTGAGCATCGTTTTCATATGTAGGTTAGTGACTAGAATTAACTTTATAGGAGGATTAGAAGTGATGAGTAAAAGCCAAACCAAACCTTATCTGTGGAAGACTCTGACCTTTGTCTCCAGTCAAACTGACCCACATGTCTAATGTCAGTCCTCCAGGATGTTTGGGACTACCTACGTAGTAGAACTGTTTTTACCAATGAAAGATCTGATTTGGTATAATCCCCCAATCCTTTATTGGATATTTGACATTTGTTCGTAAAAATAAACTGTTAGCATTTCTATCTTTCTAAGAGGTCGGTTAAAGTATTCTTACTTTTCAACCATTTTTTTCAACACACCTAAAACTTTTGCAAATGCAAATCAATTCAACTTTATAACCTAACAAACAAACAGTCACTTTCCACTTACAAGTCAGACACATACAGTAGCATCAAACGCACACACACACAGACCCACACACACGGATATAATCTATTCCCTAGTCCCTAACCTTAACTACATGTTTTAATTATATGCCTAAAACTAATCCTTATTCCTAACTCTAATATAACCCTAATTCTAATCCTAAACTAACTCTTGAATCTCAAAGACTCAGACTCTCAGATCCCCACTCTCGTTCAGTGAGGATCTGCAAAAAGTCTCCACGAGGACAATGTCTCGCCACAACAACGGGAATTTATATATATAAAAAAAGAACAATACTACAGCTATACAAGGTATACACCCTCAAACACACACACACACACACACAGAACAACATACACACACTGCACAGAAAGCCACGTTGAACTCAGGTACAGCAGCGCTTCTGTGAATTAATGACATTAGGAAAAGTTTGGCAGTGTGACCTTGATTCTTACTAAAGAAGAGAATAAAAATTCCACCGGTTCTTTTGGCAACAACGAACAGAACGTCACCTCACAGTGAACTAATCCATGCAGGGTTAGTAAAGGTAGAACATCAGAGACACGTGGGAAGGAGAAAAGAAATCAAAGAAAAAGAAGAAAACAAAAAAAATCAAAAGCAGTTTGTAGAAGAGGTGGCTGTGGAAACACTGGAGCAGAGGCCTGTACAACACAGAACTGACTTCACAGCAGAGTCGTCATACTTGGAGTTGGAATGTATTAGTATAGCATTACAGTACATTACATTTGTGTACATTGTGGTTCCACGAATCATATCTTTGACAACACTCTGATAAACATCTCTGCAGCAGCACCATGTTTTTTTTTTGTTTTAAATATTTTTTCTACAAAAGAGCAACTCATGCGAACACACCTGTGGATTGTACTGTATACACCAGGGGTCACCAACGAGATGCCCAACGAGTATGTTCTAAAAATAAAGCTAGTCAACAAGAAGGTCAAAAAATGAACTGGACTGGTCTTTTTGAATCAGTTCCACTTGCAGTGATATTCAAATGTGTTCAACGACAATGGTAAGAAGAGTGTGTACTGCTGTATGTCCCAGATCTTGACAGAGCAGCATTCGTTTTCTTTTTTTATTATTATTACGTTCTTCAAGGAAGTCTGCATCAAACAAGTAGCTCTTTGTATTTCTAAGTACTCCGGAAGTATCTGTCAGTTTCAAAAAGGTCGGTGACCCCTAGTCTACACTGCGTCTCTAACGAATGGTACAGTAGGAAACACACATTGGTGCTAAACATTTTTTGTCAGTTTAAATGTGTACATCTGCTCTGTGGTGTTTGTTGTGTTCAAGCCAACGTTCCCCCGACTATGGAAGCAATGACGACACCCAGAATCACACAACATATAATAATCATTATTTTCTTCTGAACAGTGTCAAACGACGGGAGAAACGTTGGCGTTTGTCCGTGGCAGCAGACGGGGAGCAGAGAGAGGAGACATGTTAGAAAATGTACTTTGTTAATATTTATGAAGAAATGTAGGTGCTGTCAGGCTACGGCTTTCTGCCAAGGATGGCGGTCTTTGGAGTGTGGGGAACTCTTTTACATGCACCAGCCTTAATGGGTCAGAACCGGCCTGTTGAAGGGTGGGTGTTTACAGTAAGTGACCGATGTGTGGTCAGGGCTGGGACCAGAAACCACTGAGTTAACTGTCACTGACCAAAGAGTGGCAGTCAGAACAGATGGGACTAGATGATTTGTATGCACTTTTTACCAAGGACTGAGCCAAAGATTTAGGCATGATTTAGTCAAACTCATTTTCACCCGGGGCCACATCAGCAATACAGTTCCCCTTGAATGGCCGGTTGTAAATGACTGTATAGATGTAACTACTCCATAACAAATTAATAAATGCTTCTGCAATTAATTATAATTGATTTATAATTACAATTATTGTAGACTGCTCTGTGTAATCAAGACAACTATTTTAATTGATCAGGTTAGGAAACTCAGCAGCATGGACTAATTTAAGGCAATTAACTGTGTGTCTTTAATTGTGGGCTGCATTTTAGACCACGTGCCTTGAGTTAGACATGATAATAGCTGTGAATGTACTGACATGAGGGTGGGCAGGTGCTATCTACATACATGTAGCTGAAAAAGTTTGGGAACAACTTCACTACCTCATCCAAAACCGTCATCCCACCTTACAGCACTTTTATTTGTCTTTGTGAAATAAAAATAAAATGCATACATTCACCAGATGATCAAATAAATATTCATGTCACACAACAGAAACATGCACATGCTGAGGACGTGTGTCCCTCATGACATTAAAGCATCGCACTGAAATAAAAATACATCACATCAAAGTAAACACACACGACATCAGCAGGGGGCGCTGTAACAGGTCATCACGTCACACCCTGTCTGCTCTGTTAGAACACTCCTGACAGTTCTAACCGAGTCCAACTGAGAGGGAAATAACCAGGACCATCACACACACTGCAACACAACCTCCAATCAGCATCACCTTCTGGACAGAAGGAGCAGAGAGACAGGTGGTGATCACTCAGGGGTGTGCTGTCTTTTAGTTTGGAATATAAGAAGGGAAAAATTATACAGATGACCCTTTAAATAAATTGGGATTGTGGAAAAAATACGTGATGTTGTAGACATTGACCAGGAGGTGGCATAGTGATTCCACCGTGTTGCAGGTTGTTACCAAGGGGTGGGGCT